GGAGAAGAACCAGTTTAATGCAGAATCTATGTTTGGATTTGAACAGTTAACGGCTGACATGGTATGATATCCCGTAATTTTACTGCTATATCTCATATCGAAATACAGTCATATAAGTACAGATACTTCACTGCAGAAACATAAGTGGGACAAAGGTACCCATACATTTTATTTTATACAGAGGAAGACTTTTCGAAGAAAAAAAAGAATGGTTAATTGAATACAATTATTTTGTTTAATTCCGCTAACATTAGTATGTGTACAAGTATAACTTCCAACACTCGAAGAGTGACCATCACTGTTACTATCAGAAGTTCCATAATTTTCGATATTAGCATTCACTCGCCGACTGCCATTTTATTCACGCATATTTTGTGACACGTGTCACACCTCTAAACGAGGCATTTTTAGATTAATTATTAGATCGCTAGTCAGAGCCTAGTGTTAACCGTTTGACAATCAAACTGCGAATGACAATTTTTTTTGTTTCCTTCTGGTCAAGTTTTCCTTAAACCACTATCGCTTATTACATTAAGCTTATCGTTGAAAAGCATCCACCAGACAACCTTTGGGACATGGTGATGATAATGTTTAATTCAATTCATATAAAACAATCTTATTCTATTATTAAAGTTCGATTCGACCCAATTTTCCACAGCCATTCACATTGCTAGTCGGATCAGTGCTATCAATAGGTACAGAATGTTCCTTTGTTCTCCATTACAATTAGCTTTTATCTGAAGCGACTTGTGTTGGAACACGGTACGCGTTAAATATTATCCATTTAAATTTAACGATTACGCTATGGTCTAGAAACTTTGTCCTATTGTCCTATTATTAAAGCGAATTAAGGTGGAACTAATACTAGTGTTGTGGGATTATTTAGAACTAACTATCCGGCTCGGCTTGGCTCATGTTGATAAAATTTTCGAAAATAATATACATTCTGTGTTACTCACTGATAATGTAGCTTTCTACAAGTAAAAGAATTTTTAAAATTAAAAAAAAAAAATTAGTTTTCGAGTACTATTACAAATAAATAAACAACACACAACCACTCTTTGGAATCAACTTCCTGTTTGTTTCCGAAGAGTATATTCCTTTTTAAAAGGTCGGCAGCACATCTGCGATGCCTCTGGTGTTGCGAGTGATCATGGGCGGCGGTAGTCACTTAGCATTAGGTGAGCTGCATACTCGGTTTGTCCCTTGTATTGTAAAAAAAAAACAATAAAATTTTTCCTGTATGTCATAATAGTATGTATCAATAAACCGCTTATAATAATAATATAAATAATAAAATAATTTATTCAGCTACAAAACATAACAATATTAATAACAACTTTATACATTAAAATAATAATTTCATGGTAGCAGCTGAAATGGTCCCCACTCAGCTTAAGCTGCAGTGTGATGCTGCAGCGCTGATTTTCAGTGGGGCCACCACTCGATAGGTATTCGTAGCACTTGAGAAACAGGATTAGACATTATTAACTGGACCTTATAGATGATATCAAAATCATATATACATGATAATATAATAACCCGCGTGCCAAGTGTGGCAACTTTTTTTCTTATATACAACTTAGAACGGCAAACAAGCTGACGGCCCACCTGATGGAAAGTGGTAACCGTCGCCTATAGACATGAGCAGTACCATGGACATAACAGAGTATACTGTTTCGTGTGGCAACTCTTTTTTTTTTATCGTGGAGAAATGCATTATGCAGACCCATATGCCCCGGGGGAGGCGTATTGGTACTGCCGGACTCCTACCGGCTAAAACCACCACGGCATCCCTCGCCGCGCCAAAGTGTTGGGGATCCGGGTATCGTGTGGCAACTCCTGGCACAACTATCGTCTTTGTTCAGTAGAGGACAGTTAATAGCTGAAATGATGTTTATGATTCTCTAACGTCCATTGAGTTTGTTAAGATTTTTCATAAGTTTATTGCAATGCTTGTTAGCAATTTTAATTATTAGAAAAACATGGACGAACCACCTCAGTCCGCACTGACTGGTCTTTGCATCGTCCATTAATTAAATCCGATAATAGTTGAATTCGATTCCATACGATTTAGACACACATTATGTTAGCTCTCTCTAAATAATAGGTTTTCTATTCCGAAGAGAACAGCGTCAGGTAATGCCGGATTTACTATGAGTGCGCACCGTGTGAATGGGCTCGGAGTGTTATAGCAATGGGGGATAAATTATTCGGAGCTTACAGTTGGCTGAAATTACAAGGAACAATGCGAAAGCCTTTAAATGAAATGTGGAGGCGAATAGTCGTGACGTTAAAGCATCTTTTCAAACAAGACTTTTATACCGTAATACTAACAGTGTTGGATGATCCCGACGAAGAGAATGGAATCGAGAATCCCGCATGCGCTATCGATATACGCTGGCAGGGCACCGGTGAGGATGAGAATTAATATGATGGTGTCCAGAGGGAATCGCTTGGAGATCGACCCGATAGGGTATATTGCTTGGAATGGGGCTATTAGAGCCCATTGCTAACAATCCTTCTTTCACTTTTGCTCCCCCATTAGATGGAGCGATGACCTCAACTGCATTGCAGGGAGAAAGTGGTACTGCTCATGTCTATAGGCGACGGTTACCACTTTCTATCAGGTGGACCGTCAGCTTGTTTGCCATTCTAAGTTGTATATAAAAAAAAGAAGTTACTAGGTAAGAAGGCTTAATAGGTACCTCACACCATTCCTAAAAATATATATAAATGTCAATAGAGAACAGCGAAGCGCTATGAGACACATTTAAAAATATTTCTTACACTACACATTATAAAAACTGGCGCTCAAATGAGTGTAGAGTATGAACACTAAAAGTTCACAAAGCAATCTTCAATTTAAAGTGAATTCGCAGTGGTAATTGTGTGAAGCAACATGATCCAAGTGATGGGAACTATTCCAATACAAGGTAATGACTCGGTGACGGGAGACGTGTCACGTGGTGTCGCGTGGGAGGCTGTACATAAATCACGTTCCAGTACTTGCAACTGATATTTTGGTCTGGTCTAGCACATTAATCATTGTTTGTCAAGGATCCTGTTTGATGTAGTCTGTATATGTTTTAAACGAATTTACACTAAAAGAACAAAGAGTTCACAAGGGCTAAAAGACCTTATTCAAATAGTTTTCAATATACAAACGACTGTTTAGGTTTCTAGTGTATCAGAGGTCACTTACGTCTTACAAATCGGAGAGGGCGTGTCGCGCCATAAGTACAATTCTTTCTCCTCATATTGTTTCTCTCCGATCAGCGATAAATGGAAAGGGTCCAATTTATAGCTTGCCACCGAAAAAATTCCACACTAAAATCTCCCAACAACTCCTTTTTCACATGCATTACCCACTTCCTTAAATATTTTCCAGCTAATACGTCTCCAAACTGGTAATGTAAGCTGAACTTGTAAAAGTGTCACTTTTATATATGGTAAAGATAGAAAAGGCCAATTTATAGCTCATACGACGCCGGACAGACTCGGAATGTAAATGAAAACCGGTCCCTAGTTTATTGAGTCGAAAGATGTAATAGTTTAGAACTGGAATCCACTGAACTGTCAACGGTTAACCGCGTCGTTTCAGCTACAAACTCCGTAGATAAGGTCGCGGGCGTATTCTTTTGTTGAGTTGCGGTGACACTAAAAAACTATTACTTGCGGAGAAGTGAAAAAAGATTGTAGAACCTGTGACCAAGTTGGAAAGAAACGGAGACGTTAGATGTTATATTTACATTATTACATCTCCATATTTAGAAATAATAGAATTTTCATCGTGGCTCCGATCAAATTGTTTATAATTACTCCTCTCCATCCAAAGGTTGCCTGGAAGAGATCGCTTTTAGCGATAAGATCGTCCATTGTTTTCACATTGTGATTATTTCTTGTAATTATTTATATATATGAATAATAATATAGTATTGTATGTAATAATAAAATTAAAGGCGAAAAAAAACTTTTAGGATCGAGAGATAGGCACTAGTGTCTCTCTCAAAATATTACCAAAATCTAACCGCGGTTGCCAATCCGCCTGCTAAGCATGGTAACTACAAACTAACGTAATACCTTCGAGGGAGGGGCCTGTGTTCAGCAGTGGACAGTTGATGATGATGATGGATGTTATTATCACCATATGATCACTATGTTTGTAACTAACTCTCTCTTACACTATTGCATTACGTATGTAATCTATCAGACTTTGCAAGTTCTTAATATTATTACTTTTAAGTCTTATAAATGAATGAGTATACATTATTTGCATTATACAATTATAATGCAAATAATAGGGGAAAAACAACATAATTAATAAATATAACGATACAATTGTGTAAGTACAGTAAGGAGGTCTTATTGCTGAGAGCAATCTTTTCAAGACAACCTTAGGGTAATGGACTAATTGTTGTACAAGTAGGTATTGTATAATTAAGAAAATTAACAGAATAAAACATTAAGGAAAATAATTATAAGTATTAAGTATACATAAGTATAATAGTCAAATAAAAAAATAATAAAGTGATTAACTATATGTAATATATAATACCAGACATGTTAAATATGTACCTAATACTAGAACATATATATATAACTATAGGCATAAGGAAAACAAATTAACATAAAATAAATAATTATATAAATACATAAATAAAGAATGCCAATTTTTTAAATGAAGAAACAATCAGATGGCGAAAAGATAATCTTGCACTTGTCGCTTGAAAGCATCGATGGATTTTGTACTTCTAATGACAACATGCAATGAATTCCATAACTTAATGCTAGAAACAGTGAAGGAATTGTGATAAAATTTAGTGGAATGAGAAGGTGTCATACGGGAAAGGTTTTCGGTTTCTAAAATAAAGAAAAATATAAAATAAAGAAAAATATACTTTATTAAATTTTACAGAACAGTTTACAATAAATTTAAACACTTTTGATACAGCATGAAAAAGGTCCAGAGGGAGACTTTGTACAAAAGTCGTGGGGGGTATCGTGGGCGAAACAGTATACTCTGTTATGTCCATGGTACAGCTCATGTCTATAGGCGACGATTACCACTTTTCATCAGGTAGGCCGTCAGCTTGTTTTCCATTCTAAGTTGTATAAAAAAAGGTTGAGATCGCAGCCCAAAAATATGCTAGTATTCTGTATCCAGTAGATAATATAACTTAAGGAAGCAAAACATAAAACTTTGTTCTATTCAAATTCCAATTTTTTTTTCTATTCCCAAAAACCTTAATTGCACAACTGCGAACATAAAAAATAAATCCATTAATTTTTTATTTGTGGCATAGGCTAACAAGCATAAGCTATTTACTATTGAGGAACATTGTACAAAGTTGGTAACTTCACCTATTAATTTTGCAGGCAAGTTAGCTTGTATGTATGTTGCGTTCCAGTTTGAAGGGTGAGATATGTATGTCGGTAAAATTATTGGATACTGTAACTCAAAATCTGGTTTAGTACTACAGTTTACAAGAAGTAGTGGTCATTTATCATATTTATGGTAAACAATTGTCGGATTACCATTAAACATCAACCATGACACCATAATGGTCAATAATCCTTGTTGTTAAAACTACAATTAAGGTAGGCTGCGTGTGTGTGTGCGTACGTGCGTGCGTGCGCGCGTGCTTGTGGACGTGTGTGCTTGCGTGCGTGCTTGCGTGCGTGCGTGCACGCGTACGTGCGTGCGTGCGTTCTCTTGTGAATTAAATTTAGTGGACATGTTTATAGGTTTTGTCGGCAAACCTCTTTACGTCTGTTTTTGAAATTCCGTAATAGTTAGATTTATGGTGTAAACGGTATGATGCTGTGGCTTGTGAATAGACGAGTAGAGTGTTTTATCCATAGACTAGACGAAATTATAAGATTTCATACTAGTATCTTCTATACGAATTTATATAGTTCTAGCATCAGAACTCCAACATTAAGCTTGTGGAAATAGTCGATAATTGATTTTAAAAAGAGTTCTTTTAATTTGGAAGTGACTTCTTATCTATCTTGATTATTAGTTCAACCGTATTATTTGTTTACGCGACCTTCGTAGCGTAGTAGTGGGCAAATTTTTATATATCTGACGTATTGAGTTCGATTCTCGATCGGGCCAATTTAGGAAACAACTTTTCTGAATTGGTTCTGTGTTATGCCTCCAATTTGTCCGTTGCCTGCTCTTTCATAACACAGGGTATCCTAGCTTGTGGCAACTGGTGAGGTTGCATGGCATTTGGGTGGTTTATCATTAAACAAAATAGGACACGAAACACTAGATGGCGCTAGAGTCGATTCATATGGTTTTTGTTGATAATATTATAATTAAAGACGATTTGAGGCAAAATTTCTAAATTAGCGAGTAATTTATTTATTTTTTTACTGATATAGTAATAATTTATGGCAACTTTTGTCTTTATTCTCTTGTATTGTACAATTTTGTAAAACAATTGATACTATCAAGAAACGTTGCTATTGTGAGAGTTATAATTTAGTTAGGAAATAATCATGTTTTATCTGGCACATATTAATACATAATAATAAAAAACTGCACGCCAATTTCGATTTTTTTTATAAAACTTAGAATGGCAAACAAGCTGACGGCCCACCTGATGGAAAGTGGTAACCGTCGCCTATAGAAATGAGCAGTACTATGGACATAACAGAGTATACTGTTTCGTCCAAGATACCCCCATGCGTTGCCATTCCTGAGGACTCAGATGTTATTCCTATGTACCCCGTAAATTAACGCCATATCCCACCCTTCAAACCGGAATACAGCCATGCAAACACAACTGCTTCACGGTAGAAACACGAAAAGGACAGAGGTACCTAAGCAAACGACTTTTGTACAAAGTCAGTCTGGTAAACTTTTACTTTTACTTCAAATTGTCTTTAATTACAAAATAACCAATAAAAAACAAGTCACGATTCCACTGCCATCTAGTACTCTTTGTCTAACTTTATTTAGTGACCAACTACCATGAGTCGGTTCCATATAAGTTTCTATTATTATTGAATTAGCCGTTTTATTTTGTTCAACATAATCCTAAACTACTATATAAGCCATAGATCTTGCGGAGAATTTAATAATAGATGTATTTACCACGTAAATAGCTTCCGATACTAGCGTACGAGATTACAACAGTTCACGATGGAAACTTGGGAAGTTCTTGATTATCTTGCTCATATTAACGGACGGCGATATGGAAATCTGTGGAAGTTTGAAATTGAACTCAGGACTTAGGAATATAAGTGATGCACTTCGTTGCCGCGAATAATTCGAAAGAATACGACTCGGTCTAGTGCTGGACAAACTCCGCCATTGGGATTAACTTAATGCAACTGTATTAAGTGGATGGCCAGCCAGTTACTGGATTGTAAAGCACTGTCCGCACAACTCTGGGCCAGGGTTTATAGAGCTCAGGGTTTTTTGGGCTTAGTCTCCCATTAGGAATGAGCCAGCCATTTATCATGGAAATCGCTATGAGTGCGTCTTAGATTATACTCGTATAGATGGAGTATTGAATGGTAAAAATATTTATTTGTACACATAATTTTTTTAACGATAATTTTTTTTCAGTGTTGCAAGTAATTGGATTAAACATTTCCCAGATCAAGTTGATTTTTTAAAATTTGATTTGGAACCTTTTTTTTCTGCAATAATATAAATATATATATGTATGTATTGCTTATAAATTAATATACATGTATTAATTAAAAAGGCAGCCATTTACGTTCAGCAATCAAGATAGCATGAAAGGATCAATATTTTTTGGAATTGCTTCTTCAAAAAAAAACAGTTTTACTTCCATGAAATATTATCTAGTAATAATTTAGATTGCAGTTTGTATTCTTTATTGTATGCACTCAAGATTTTAAAATAACTTTTTCCCATGCCCCGAGTACTGTGTGAATGGTGCTTTAGTGGTTACTGCTATAGACACAGGGATGTCAGTGCAGCACAGAGGTGTCATAGTGCGTGTATAGCGTACCTCTCTTAAAATATACGAGTGTAAATGACGTCATTTGCAGGAACGAGAACTTGGATTTAGTTGAGCTTTATGCCATGAACTGACGTTTAAACGTGTCAGAGTGACTTTGCCTTACATATGTGGTATTGTTAAAAGAGGCAGTCAAATAAAAATTAGACTTGTACACAGTTAATATCTATTTATAATATACATATTTGGGTGAGCTTTACAGATTTATCAATGCACTTGATAGAAACTAAAAAAAAATAAATAAATAAACATTCTTTATTCTACACAAAATATAATGTTAACCACAATTCATTTGAAACATAATGTACAAACATTATAATAATACGATAATGGAAAAATAATATATATATATAAATATATAATATAATTTTATATAAATATAAATATTAAAAATGCATTTCTACGTAATTTGTTACCGTTCTGTGAAACTGTGGCAGTACAGTGAAAAAAGTCCAGTTCGGAACTCTCTACTACCTCATTAAGCAGACGTAGCGCCCTCGTGAGTGGCGCCTGATCAGCTTGGAGTGTCCTGCTGCGTGGTAGGGCATTCCTTGATTATGGTCACGCTTGCTGAGGACCTGTTTGGTTCTCAGCCAAATAAATAAATCTAAATAAATAAATCATGAAATAACCCATATCGAATAAAACGCGTTATAACTACTATACCTACTACTATGAAAACAAAAAAAAAACATATATTGTTAATTAAAAACGCCGCTATGTTGAGCTCGTTTGGTGTTTTCTGATAAATTTAATTAAAAACAGCGCAGAGGCGCCGGGCCGGCCGGGCGCCGCGCGGCGACCGTGCGGTCGGGGTGCAGAAACGCAACGATTTATCGAACCCTCTGTTGCTGTTTTATCTCTCAGGCCCCTTTAATTATATTTTTAAAATATTTCGGGTTGAGAATATATCTCACAGACACGAACACTAGAATAGAAAATTAAAAGAAAAGGAATTTAAGAGTGTTAAGATAAATTAAATATATAAACAATAATAAATCTTTATAATAATTGTAAGTAATTGGTATATATAGGCACAATTTTTTAAATTTCTTTACTAACTTATTTTCATATTTGTAATATTAATAAGGATTGTATAATCACAATTACCAGAGGGGGACTTTGTACAAAAGTCGATTGCTTGGGTACCTCTGTGCCATTCGTGTTTCAACCGTGAAGCAGTTGTGTTTGCATGGCTGTGTTTCGGTTTGAAGGGTGGGATATAGTGTGAATTTACTTGGTACAGAGGAATAACACCTGAGTCCTCAGGAATGGCAACGCATGGGGGGTATCATGGGCGAAACAGTATGCTCTGTTATGTTCACGGTACTGCTCATGTCTATAGGCGACGGTTACCACTTTCCATCAGGCTCGTCAGCTTGTTTGCTTTTCTAACATGTATAAAGAAAAAAAGAATTTATAAAATCGGTTAAGTATTTTTTAAGTTTTTCAATTACATATAAAAAATAAATCTTCCTTTTTAAAATATAAGTATAGCTTATTATAAGCAATATTTTAAGAATTAAAAGCCACCGATGTAACTAACCAGAGGGAGACACAAAGTCTCGCTCTGGTTAGTCAACACCCGTGGGAAAGGAAGGAGTGGCCTATTCTATGCTGGACCACACGGATAATTAAATTTAATAAAACATATTAAAACAAGCAAAATATTCATTGTGTAGAACACAAGTTATCCTAACTTGAGTTCTAGACGATTTGTATAACTCATAAGAGTTAAATTTGTCGAAGTGTTTATGCAACTTAAAATGGCAAACAAGCTGACGGCCCACCCGATGGAAAGTGGTAACCGTCGCCTATATACATGAGCAGTACCGTGGACATGACAGAGTATACTGTTTCGCCCATGATACCCCCCATGCGTTGCCATTCCTGAGGACTTGGGTGTTATGCTTCTATACTCTGTAAATTCACAGCACTAACTCACCCTTCAAACCGAAACACAGCCATGCAAACACAACTGCTTCACGGTTGAAACACGAATGGGACAGAGGTACCCAAGCAATCGACTTTTGTACAAAGTCGTTCTCTCCTTCACTCTATTCAAGTCTGTAAAAAACGTCACTATAATGAAGTAAATCCAGAAAGCGATTTAAAAGAGTCAAGTAAGAGAGATTTTTGTTCAAACAATTTAATATAAAATCTTCACGTCCCATATCTCGGGAATGAGTCCTGTTCCACACTCGTGTGTCCCGCAATTCGCTTCTATACCAGCATCACTGTATCCGAGTTAAAATACGTAGACTGTTTCGACGTCTGTTACAAACAAAATTGGATTGTTCAACGTAAAAGACGTTTATAGTGAACAGACAGTAGGAACTGCGAAGTAAACATTAGTGTTTTATAGGCAGCGAGAGCATCGGAGGCTCGTAACTTATTCAGAAACAATTAGATGTTAAGTTACCGTTGGTAACTAACTTGAATGTAGTGTATCCTATTGCTACCAACACGTAATCGTGTTATTTATAAACTCTTGTGTCTCATTATTTAGCAAACGGGATGAGTATTTAGGTGTCGTATTTAATTTATACTAGTGGTCGTCCAGTGATCGAAATTCGACTGTAATTATACATTGTAATAAATAAATTTACTATGGTTATGTTTGACATTCAGTAAGACTTTTTTTTATACAACTTAGAATGGCAAACAAGCTGACGGCCCATCTGATGGAAAGTGGTAACCGTCGCCTATAGACATGAGCAGTACCATGGATATAACAGTGTATACTGTTTCGCCCATGATACCCCCCATGCGTTGCTATTCCTAAGAACTCAGGTGTTATTTCTCTGTACCCTATAAATTCACGCTATAACCCACCCTTCAAACCGAAACACAGCCATGCAAACACAACTGCTTCACAACAGAAACACGAATGGAACAGAGGTACCCAATCCTTCTCTATATAAGTGTGCCTAATTTCAATGTTTTTTCTTCACGTAATAATATATAGATTAAGAAACAAGTTGATCCGGCAAACATGTTTAATCCCCTGCATTTTTCCAGCAGCATCTTTCAAGTTCAAGTGAATAATATACAGTCACATATTTTAAGAATATTTTTACAAAAAAACACCGACTTTTGTACAGTAAACGCGTAAAACCAGTTATTTTGTTTTTAAAACTAAACTGCAAAATTGTTTTTGATAAAATTTCTATTAAATTAATCTAAAAGCATATTTTTTCAGACAAAAAAGAACTTTTGAATTCGGTTTATAAATGACGGAGTTATGAGGTAGCAAATTTAAAACTACATACGTCCGAATTGAGAATCTTACACTTTTTTGAAGTCACTTGAAAATTTCATTAAAATCAGTTGAGCGGTTTAGGAGATTAGCGTGAGTGAACGTCGTGACACGGGATTTTTGAATATTAAGGGTAATTGTATGGGGTATTATAGGATCAAAGGAGAAAACCGTATTGACTGCAAAAGGAATTGTAAAAATCGGATTAGAATTGGTAACGTAATTGTAAAAAATTCAAACGAATTGATAATCTTTTTCTTTTGAAAGAAAAGTGAGTAACACTATAAAAATATATAAAAGTAAGCAAGTAATCATCATCATCATTTCAGCCATTATTTGTCCACTGCTGGACATAGGCCTCCTCCATAGACCGCCATAAAGAACGGTCCCGAGCCACCTGCATTCACTGACTCCCTGCTATGCATTTCAGGTCGTCACTCCATCTAGTGGGAGGGGGGGGGGGAGGGTCGTCTTACACTGGGTTTGCCCGTACGTGGTCGCCACTCAAAAACCTTTCTTCTCCATCGGGTGTCGGTTCTTCGAGCTATGTGACCAGCCCATTGCCACTTCGGCTTGCTTATCCTTCGAGCTATGTCGGTTACTTTGGTTCTTTTGCGGATATATGCATACACATATATATATTACTTATACATATTTTTATTTATTTATTTATTCATTAAAAATAATTATATAAATTTAAATATTAACAGCAAAAAGCGGAATCAATGTTATAAATCTAGTGTGCTAACATACAATGTTATAATAAATGTATTTAACCCGACTCTAGATATTTGTGAGCCGCTTCTAATATCTTTACATATGTATTACTTTATGCTTCATAGCTCTTTATTATTATGCTATTTATCATAATTGTGATATAAATGTATTGACATAGCATAAGTTGAAAAGTTCCTTGCGCACTCAACTTTGAAATATGAGGCACTGTCGATATTAGAGAGGCGGCACTTTGCACCCGACATCCGTCAGATAATCACATCCGTTCATACTTTCCTAGTACCTATACTTTGCTAACTATGCGAGCTGGAGCTCGTTGGAGACAGAGGATGTACTTAAGTGGAGCTCAACTAACTGCTTACAAGTAATGGTACACATATATGTATAACTGTATCAAATGGGGTTATATTTTTTGTATTTCTATTAGTTAAAGAATCATCATCATGTTTGATACAATAAATTAGATAAAAATAAAAAAAAAATACTCGTCTGTTGTTCCTATGTGCAGATCTTTAATAGTTCTTTATATATTTTTCCCGCTTTGGTTTTTGTTTCGTCTTTTTTTAATACTGTTTAAATTTTTTTTATAATCGTTTGTTCATTGTAAACACAACTGCTTCACGGTTGAAACACATGGACATAACAGGACTGTTTCGCCCATGATACCCCCCACGCGTTGCCATTCCTGAGGTCACGCCATATCCCACCCTTCAAAGCAACCATGCAAACACAACGCTTCACAGTTTTGTACAAAGTCTCCCTGTGGTCATAATAGGTGATTAATTCGCCAATTATAAAAGAAATTAGTCAATTATTTTTGCAATAAATGCGGTTTACTTTCATCTTAGTTAATGGTATACAGAGGTTAAATTTAATAAAAAAAAAAAAAGACTCATATACTTTTAAATTTCTAATAAAACAAAAAAAAAAAAATCCATTCTTTAATATTTCACGTATCAACACGGGCAGATGTAATATATATTTAAACCAATAGCTAATACATTTGCCTAAAATTCATATTAAGCGCACCTGCTCGCAAAATTTGCGACGCAACCACCTATCCCTTATAGATGCGGATTTGTCTAGAAATACTAAACTTTACATATTTATTACCCAACCTATGAATGCCACGTGGGCTGTATATGAACACGATTTACCCTTTCGTTTTTCATTTTTATTCTCAATTAAAAATGTGGAATTTAATGAACTTGTTTTATTTATGCGTTTATGAAATTGTTTGTCGTAATATTTTTGACGTTTTTTTGAGTAAAAAGTATTATTAATTTATTTTTAAGTGATTTGAAAAAAGAAAGGATTTAATTTAATGTTTATTTTTTGTGACTAGGAGTACATCAACATTAAAGAGAGGCATTATTCATTTTTATTCACAATTATAAACATGGTATTTAATGAACTTGTTTTATGCGTTTATGAAATTACTATGTTTGTCGTATTATTTTTGACGTTATTCGAGTAAAAACTGTTAATAAATGTATAATTCCTTTTTAAGTGATTTAAAAAAAGGAAGGGTTTAATTTAATGTGTATTTTGTGACTAGGAGTAGGTACATCAACATTCGAGAGACAGACAAATGGTTTCTAGGAAGGAAGGTCTTAATTGAATCTGTAATTTTTGTGACTACGAGAACACTGACACTCGAGAGACAAAACACGGTTAGGACCACTTTGGTTGAAAGTGATATATTTATTCATTTATTAGCTGTATCCTGCGGCTCTGCTTGCCTGTATTCGTACATTATATGCTGAGTTTTGTGTCTTGTTCTCCTTTAAAATTCATAAATGGCACATTATCTAGTTTGTTTTTCTAGCATCGATATTACGCGATTAAATCGCCATTTCTGAACCAATTTTCATTATTATTTTTGCATCCAGCATGACTTTGGTATTATAA